AGGGCCCCGGCTGCCCCTTCGGGGCGCCGAGCGGGCTCAGGACGCCCAAGGGGCGCGGAAGGGAAGCCCAGGGGGCCATTGTCGTCAGTCCCTTCTTGAGTAGGCCAACGAGATCTATACATACCTATACGACCACCCTTCGGGTGATAAGGAGGTTCGGGGGGGGGGGGGAACCAACGTCTCACTCGATCGGTCTCACTATCGATCTCAGTATCGGTCTCGCTCGATCGATCTCCCTCAATCGATCTCACAATCGATCTCACTTGATCTATCTCACAATTGATCTGACTATCGATCTCACAATCGATCTCACAATCGACTTCACAATCGATATCACAGTCGGTCTCACTATCGATCTCACTATCGATATCACAACCGATCTCACAATCAACGTCATCATCATCATCATCAACAACAACATCAACATCAGCATCATCATCACCAACATCAGCATAATCGGGACACCGTCCTCATCATCAACACCAACATCATCATCATCACGGGCATCAACATCATCGGGACACCACCATCATCATCATCACCATCATCACAATCATCATCATCAACATCATCATCATCAGCAGCATCGGGACACAGTCATCGTCATCATCATCATCAGCAGCATCATTATCGGGACACCATCATGATCACCATCGTTACCATCATCATCATCATCATCATCATCATCATCATCATCATCATCATCATCGGGACACCATCATCATCATCTCATCCTGATCATCGACATCATCATCATCAGCATCATCAACATCATCATCAGCATCATCATCATCGTCATCACCGGGGCACCATCATCATCATTACCAACATCAGCATCAACATCATCATCATCACCATCGGGACGCCATCATCATCAACAACATCATCATCATCACAATCATAATAATCATCATCATCGGGACGTCATAATCTTCATCAACCTCATCATCATCAACATCATCATCATCATCGGGACACAATCGTAATCAGCATCATCAACATCGACATCATCATACTCATCATCATCGGGACACCATCATCGTCATCATCATGATCATCAACATAAGCATCATGATCATCATCATCCTCATCATCAGGACACCATCAGCATCATCATCATCATCGTCATCATCATCATCATCGACATCATGATCATCATCATCATCATCATCATCATCATCATCATCATCATCGGGACACCATCATCATATCATCATCATCGTCCTCATCATCAGCATCATCATCAGCATCACCATCATCATCATCATCATCATCATCGTCATCATCATCATCAGCATCATCATCATCATCAGCATCACCATCACCATCACCATCATCATCATCATCATCATCATCATCACCATCATCATCATCATCATCATCATCATCATCATCATCATCATCATCATCATCATCGCGGGGCACCGCGGGACACCGGCGGGACACCGCGGGGCACCGCGGGACACCGCGGGACACCGCGGGACACTGGCGGGACACCGCGGGCCACCGGCCGCCCAGAAGGGAGTCATTTGGTCCGGCCGCGCCTCAGCCACACGGGACACCAGCGGGACACGGCGGGACACCGCGGGCCACCGGCCGCCCGGAAGGGAGTCATTTGGTCCGGCCGCGCCTCAGCCACAGGAGACTTTTTCTCGCCCGCCCACGCAGCTTCGCCTCGCCCGCACGCACGGCACGCACGAACACGTAACCGAAATCGATTTCCCGGTAGGGGGGCTCTCCGTTCCACTTCGATCTCACCCCCTCACCTCCGATCCGCTGCCCCAGGCCTGGCCGACACAGGGCTCAAGAATGGTGTACATGTATCCCTTGCCCAGCCCGGAGGGCGCATGCACCGCCCCTGGGCCCAGGTCGGGCCAGTCCTGAGCAGTGGATGTGTACCACCCATTGGTCGTTGGAAGTAGATATCTATGGATGCCCAAGTCCCAATCTGCTTTCGCCGCCGCTAGTCCAAGAGTCGAACGGCCTCCCATAGCGGACGCCCAATCTGCTTCCAACGTTACTTCGTGTACTTCTTCCGCCCGATGTGTACGGAGGGTGGATCTGTGTAGATTTGTGGAGGACGATCAATGGAGAGGAAGCATGCTGCCAAATAATGTCCAGATGTTTAGAAACCGTGCTACAACTGTTTCAGACGTGTAAGAAACAGGTTTTGAATATTTGCATGACAATTTCCGACACTGTAAGCACACTTTTAATTCGATGATAGGGCTGTTAGAGTGTCCATTGTCATGGCATCCACAAGCGTAGATTTAAGTCGGGCCTGTACAGGAGGAATATTCCCAAATAGTCAAACATAGTGGGGGGAGTCTTTTTTTCTAAGTATTTTTTGACCATGTTGGGGCATTTTTTGGTGACTATTTTTCATTTTTCGTGTGGAAACGCCCGACTTGATGATAGGACTGTTAGAGTGTCCATTGTCATGGCATCCACAAGCGTAGATCCCGGCGCCCCACTGGGCTGTGGGGAGGCGAAGGAGTGA